ATCGGAGACCCGCACCAGCGCTGGAGGGACAGCTAAAAACTAGAGGAAAGAAGAAGAAGATCAGATTAAAAGGCATCATTTAACCACTTGCTGACCGGGGTGTCTATACCCCCTTCCTGACCAGGCCATTTTTCAGTGTTCAGCACTGCAGTACTTTGACTGACATTTATTCCGTCATGCAACGCTGTACAGAAATACATTTTATACCATTTTTTGGGGACAGATAGAGCTTTCTTTTGGTGGTATTTAATCACCGCTACGGGTTTTTTTTTTTTACTGTATAATAAAAAAAAGTACAAAAATTTTTGAAAAAAAACCTATTCTCCCTACGTTATGTTATAAAACATTTATTATTACCCAATTTTGTGGTAAAATATAAAAGAGTCACGTCGGGTAAATAGACACCAAACATGTGAAGCTTTAAAACTGCGCGCACCCGTTAAATCGCAAAAAACTACCATACTCAACATTGACCATAGCCGACGCTTTAAAAGCTTTTACCGCTCATCAGTTTAGTGTTATCAGTGATTGATGACCCTAGAATTATTGCTCTCATTCCGACATTCACAGCGATATGTAACATGTGCGGCGCAATCGATCTAATCGGCCTTTTCGCACGTAGGCGGGCTTGACGCATGTTTGCGTGTGCATGTGGGGGTGGGGGGACTTAAATTTTTTTTTTTTTTTTATTGCTTTGATATGTGATTTTTAATTTTTTCATTTTTTTGTAACAAATTTTGTTAAACCTTTTTTTTTTCACTGAACTTTATTGCTATCACATAGGGAGCAAACAAGCTCCCTATGTGATAGCCAATTAGCAGTGACAGGTCCTCTTTATGGAGACATCAGGGGTCTTTAAGACACCTAATGTCACCTAGGGACCCTCAGAGAAGCCGAAGAAGCAAAGACCTGCTTCACCAGCTTCTCTCCGGTTTCTGTACCGGAGAGTGACACTGTATGCAGGAAGTGATGTAATACACATCACTTCCTGCATTCAGAAGAGGAGAGGAGATCAAACGGAGCTCGAGTACTGAGCTCCGTTTGATCTCCGACCGCAGAGCTGCTGTGCTGGTCCCGGGCTCACACTGGGAACAGCGGAGCCCGGGATCGCCAGCAGCGGCGGCGACGGAGGGGGGTGCCCCGCACACCCGACCGCATATTACAAGCGATCGGGCGTCTCTACAGACGCCTGAACACTTGTATGTAAACAGCCATCGCTGGCTGTTTACATTCAAAGCCGGTTTCCCGCTCGTGCGCACCGCCTATCAGCAGGCACGAGCGGAACGGGATAGGACATCTAAAGACGCCCACCCGCCCTCAAGAAGCCACTGTCTGGCCGTTTAATTACAACGGCCGGACAGCAGGTAGTTAAAGTAAGTCCTTACTTTAGCACTGTGAGGGGGGGGGGACTTTTGCCCTTAATGTCACTTTAATAATGCACTGGATTTAGAACCCACCTGAGACCCCACATAGCCCACCTGAGACCCCGCAGAGCCCACCTCAGAACCCACACATATCTGAGACCCTGCAGAGCCCACCTGAGACTCCACGTCATGGCGTTATCACGCATGCGTGGTGATATACTTCACTGCCGATACCCATCTTGGTAATGGACACTGGCAAACAAAGGAGGGGATATTGACACGGCAGGATCAGGTATGTCACCAGGTCTCCCTCTCTCGTGCCACTGTTGGGCTCTCGGTCCATGTCCGAGTGCTTGACTTGTGATGCCACTGAGGGCTTCCATCTTTTCTCACACTCACTTTCATTCAAACACACTCAATATCCATGTACTCTTTAGAGGATAAAATTAAATTAAACAGTAATTAAATTGTTATATCGTTTCTGTAGAAACTGCTGATCCAATCTCCTTAAGGTGCTGGTCACATTTGTAAAAGCCTAGGCATTTGGTCACATGATTTCTACTGACAGGGAGCATGAGCCAATCTGTACCTTGATCCTTTATTATAACAATGACCACATGACTGTATGCCTATGTTTTCAGACAAGTGACCAGCAAAGAATGGGCCTGCTATTTTGGCCCTTCACTTGTTCTTTATTCATCCGAGAAGGACTAGTAACATGTCAGTCGAGTTCCACATTTATTACAAGCTGATATTTCCAAATAAGTCTCAGCGGAACAGTAAGGTTCCATATATGAGTATCTCTTGAAGTGACCCTATTAAATATATACAGCCTGATTACAGTGTTGTAAAGACAAATCATGCTGCTATTGCTGATTAATCAGCAGGGGACAATATGATTCAGTTAACTTTTTTTACATTTCTGACTAGATTAAAGGACTTCGTTAGGAAGACTTATCTGTTCTGGCGACACCGTTTTCCTTGACAGGAAGTGAGGAGAACTCTCCAACTACAACACAGACAAAAATAAAAATGCTTCTCTTAGTAAAAGTGGCTAGAACCACTTTCGGATTTTGGTCTGTGTACTTGTCCTAGTTTTCCCTTACTTCCTGTATGGTGAAACTGTTGTCAGCAGGACAGGAAGTGAGGGTAAACCTCTCTAACAGAGCCATGTATAGCAGTAAAAACCCACCAGGAGCTCAAATCCTTCCCCTTCTTATATAAAACTAGAGAAAAGGTTTTTGGCTTGTCATACCCTTTAACTAGAATTTACAATAACGTGTATTTTTTTATTCTGGTGTTGTAACATTTGTATAGTAAATAGTAAAGTATTACATTAATTTATTATACATTTTCATTATGCGTGATGTGTCTGAGGATCTTGTTGGCTGTATCATCCAATCATATTTCAGCTATCATTTGTGCAGTGTGGTAGATTAAAGTAAAAATGTCATTTATTGCTATGGGCAACATTCTTCGTCTTCCCTTGATCCAGCTGACTACATGTTACTGGACATTTATTAGTATTTTTAACATGTTTTTTTAACATGTTTATATTGCATAAATCAAGGGGAAGGCAACCTTGGCGCTCCAGCTGTGCTGAAACTACAAACCCTGTCATGCATCTGCCTCTAGTAGTCATGCCTGTGGCTGTCGGCATCTTGCAAAGCCTCTTGGGACTTGTAGCTCCACAACTTAAATACATTAAAATGCATTAGAAGATTAGCACTGAAGGTCTGCCTGTAATATGTCATGCCAAGGCCTGTTAGTAATCGCTGTCACAGATGTGCAGCACAGTTAGAAAAAAAAAAAGCCACAGCCATGTTGAATATGTAAAATAATATGCTCTAGATACAGGCTGTGAAGATTAGTCCTAATGACAATGACATATGTCTAGCTGAGAGGGCTGCCATGAGCTGAGCTCACACACTGTAACTGCCTCCCCAACAAGATGCACAATTACAGCACAAGCAATGAGGGGGTGTGATACCACCTGTCTGATTTACCCCGACTGCTAAATGGAAGCTGATTTACAATAGTCCTGCTGAATGATTCACACCAGTGTTGAATCAATGTGCCCAGTCACCGGAATAAAGATCATATTCATGATGAAGCCATCACTATGTCGATGGAAGAATTACTCATCCACCTATGCACAATCAATACCAATGGGATATAAATAAACTGAGACCTGTGAGGAGGCTGCTTGCATGTAAACAGGGATGTACATTAAAAAAAAAGGTGATCTGTATAGGGATGGTTAATGGAATATGACACAAAGAAACGAGCAGGGTTGATGCCCATAGCAACTGATAAGATTTAGTCTCTGCTCACCCTTGTACATCTGTGTTTTCATGCATTTTAGCACATTTTGGTTGCATGGTTTTTTTATTCATTTTAATGCATTTTTATTGTTTTCTGTTTTGCCCAGTGCAGGGGAAATAAAGTATAGGTTGCTAGAGGGGTGGGGACACAACTAGTACCCCCCTAGCTCCAAAAGCTGGATTTACACACATATATTTTTTTTGTTCAACCTGTGGGCTGATCAAAGAGAATAGAACAGATTCCTCCATCAACGCTTATGTGGAATCCCCCACTGTTTCTATTGTATTCCACTGGCCGCTGTCAGAATACCTGAAGCTGATTGGCTGCTAGCTCCATTTGTACAAAAAATGTCCAGCCTGCCGCTTCGATCTGCTGATCAAGGGATGCCGATTAGAATGGTGCTGACAGCAGCACCCACTGTTCGAATTTTGGCCAGTTTATCAGGAACCGGCCGAAATTTGTACTGTATATACCCAATTTAACTCCTGTTACATGCATTTCAAGCCTTTTTATTACATTTTTGTTGCTTATGGTCATTGCAAAAGTGCATTTTCATGAGTTTTTATTTTTGCCAGTGAAGATGAAATACAGTATAGGTTTCTATACTAGCAACTAGCACCCCTCTATCATCCTTACATGCTTTTTTTTTAAAGTGCATTTTCATTACCTGTTAATGAATATTCATACATTTTTGTTTTGGCCAGTGAAGGTGAAATAAATGATAGGTTCCTAGAGGGGTGGGGGCAGACAACTAGTACCCCTCTAGCATCCTTACTCATGTTACATGCATTTTCATGTGCTCCTATCAAAGTCAATCGGATAAATATGCACCAAAAGAAGCACCTGCATCATTTTCCAAGATGCATGTAAGCACATTGCATAGGTGTGAATGGCCCCCTTAGAAAATTATGGAATTTCTTTTGTCGTGCGATATCCGAAGTGTGCGATATCCGAAGAATCACACAGGTGTGAACGAGAACAAACAGACGTGCAAGCTGGTTCACCATGTACAACGCTCACTTTAAAAGATTAGCCCCAGCGTATTAGCAAAAATGAACAGGATAAGTAACACACATCTTCCCACTAGCTGCTGCACACAACACAGATTTGTTTAAGCTCAACGCATATGAGTGAAATAAAAAACAGCAAAAGTTAATTAAACCATATTTAAAGTTATGATATCATGCCTACAGCATTAAGACATAAGTCATTGTGATAACTGAACTGAATAGTTAAATTGCATTGAATTCATCTTTAATACACATTCACTGAACTCACAACTTCCTAACACAAAGTGGTTCTATGGCTTACCTGCCCAGCGTAGTCATAGCCCAATTCAGTGGCCAATGCCCGAGCTTCCTCTGGACCTCCAGGGATCTCTGCAGCCCATTCATTCACATATCGCCTTTCTACAGCAGCCACTAATCCTAAGCAGCATGAGAAGACACACACTAAAGCAATGTACTTGTAGGGCCAGCATTTTCCTTCCATTTCGATATGTATCTGTGCAATGTCCACACTGTTCAAACAGTACCTTAAGGTCGAAAAAATATATATTCCAAAAAAGAAAAAAATAGACCAGGAGATCTGTCTTTTGCCTTGTTGCTATGTGAACGGATAGATGTCAGGAGCAGGCTTTTCGTCTGTGGCTGGAAAAAAAAACAAGAACCTTTCCTCCACAGTCAATGGAAATGAGTATTTACACGTCAAAACTACGTCAACCACACTTGCGACGTCTTAAATCTATACGGCATTCCCAAGGGAGGAGAGATGCTAAAATAGGAAGCAGGGATTCACGCAGCTCCATTGCCCACTGAGAGAGATCAGTTCGTGTAATTGGACTGGAGACGCCCACACTGACGGAAAGAAAAAGCAATATCATGCTCAAACAGGGCTACACATCAGCTGCTTGCACAGCACAGTGTCAATAGAATGGTACAGTGCTACAGTAAACAGCACGTCGTTCTCCTACAAGTGGCTTCACTCCCTCTCGTCACTTGGTAATAACAGAATTCTGCACCTCTATCAGCCCGATCAGCTGTGATGTGTTCTATATTATCCACCAAACATATACGCTGCAATTTAAGTGTATGTGACACACACACACACACGGTATAAATGTAATAAATATGGCTTAATTCTAATGGTTGAAATCAGCTTCATGTAAATAATCATAGCTATCATGGTATAGGCATATTCTACGTTTTTGTTTTTTAATTGATAAATGCACCTATGTTTTGCACTGGAGACTGCAAAGCATTGCATCAGTGGATGAAGGGTGCAATGTTCAGGCTCCCGCTGACTGTTCCTGGAGGGCTATATTCAGATATGGACCTTATGGAGCTGGAGAAGGTAATCAATGGACCAATGACTAATGTAACGTCACCGCACTTGTGTTCCATTGAGAACTAAAAGGCCCCTTTAACTTGGGCAGTGTCCATTTTGATCAGCAGGGGATCCATGCACAGGTCCCCTGCTGATTGGAGCAGAATGGAACAGATGCCACGGTGCTAGTTTTTCCATTGACAGATCCTGTGGCTGTGCAGGTGTAACAAATTCAAAAACATACGGAATACGGCGGGGAAAATAACCCAGCAATTCTGGTAAAAGGGGGGTGGTTTGAGAGTGGGGGCCTGCAGAATGGCACCATGGCTTCATGTTACGGGGGTAACATGGAATATGGAAAGAAAGATGGAATTAGCCCTTAGTGTTTTAAAAATCTTGTTTTTGTTTAATCTCGTATTTATATTCAAAGGATTGGACTGAAGATCACCATCACACACAAGCTTCAAAGTGTACATTTCCGTACTTCTTTATTGAACATGCGTCATGTGTGTCATCAAAGCACTGGTCTTTGATGACGCATGTGACTTAGACTTCAACAAAGAAGTTTGGAAATGTACACTTTGAACCTTGTGAGTGCTGGTGATCTTCAATCCAATACTCTGAGATTACATGGCGCCATCCGTGTTATCACTGGGAGCACCACAATTGTGCAAGGTTTTAACTCCATATGGAGTGCAAGTGTTCAACTACAACACTATATTTATTTATATTCAGACATATTTACTCACTGCATATACAGGCTTAGCCACCTGCAGTGAAGTGGGGTTGATTTACTAAAGGAGTCAGGGCAGTTCACTAGGCAAAGGGAATGTTTACTGAACTCTGTAAATAGGATGAAGCTGTGCTCAATTCAATGAACCAATCATGTGCTAGCAAAAATTTTTTTTTTTTGTATTTCCCTCACACATGATGGTGTAGTCAAAGTGAATGCAGTTTTACTTAAGTTTTATTTAATATCATTCACTTTGCTCAATGAACAGCTTATACCACAATGGTTGAGCTTAAGCCCTCGTTCACACCTGAACGTTTTGTAGCGCGTTTTACGCTCGACGACCGCTCTACAAAACGCTCAAAAATATAAATCCCATTGTATTCAATGGTCTCGTTCCCACCTTGGCGTATTTCCGCCCGTCCCTAACTCGCTACAAAACGGCCCACGCCTGAAAAGGTACAGGTACTACTTTGGGCCGTTTTGTTGCGCGTTTCCATTGGGATACAGCCAAGTAGCCTTCGGAAATACGCGACGGTCGCGCAACTTTTTTACCGCGAACAGGTCGCGCGACAGACGCGCATATGCAATACGCCTAGGTGTGAACGAGACCTCACTGCTCTTTTTCACTATACCAGTCTATGTTGACCATTTAAAAACATTGCTCTCTATGTGCAAACGTAATGTGTATGAGTTAAATCTTAAAAATGCTTTAAAGTACCTTAATTATTACCAAAAATGTAGCTTATTTGTGCATCGCTCAACTGTAGATCCTCAAATCATCTCTGAAATCATACTGAAACTGTCCTTCCTTCTGGAGGGTGGCTACTTTTGTTCCCCATGGTCCATGTGTGTGTTGTAAAGTAGCCACTGATCCAAGCTCACACCGTGATGGACTACAATCTCACGTTTAGTTAGCTAATTTGTATTAAGATAAGATTGTAGTCCATCACGGGAGTGAGCTTAGAGCGGCGGCTACTTTACAACACCCACAGGGACCATGGGGAACAAAAGTAGCCACCCACCCTCCAGAAGGAAGGACAGTTTCAGTACCAATTCAGAAATGATTTGAGGATCTACAGCTGGGTGATACACAAATGAGGTACAAAAGAAGGTACAGTATTAGTTAATTTAGGTAATAGATAAGGTACCTGAATGCATTTTCAAGATTTAACTACCGAGTTTTGTGTCACTTTAATATACTGACACTCCTAAGGGATGCTGTGTCTGTGAGTCATTTCAGCACCACAGCTCTGGACAGCAGCTAATTGCTGTATGGAGGGAATATAGGCACTGGCAGTGCTCTGCTCATGTGGAAATGATCATTGTCATTCATTTGCAGTGAAGCACTCCAAAGAAGGGCGATACACATTGCACAGATGACGAATCCTACGTAAGAGAAGCCAATAAAATGTGTGTAGGCTGCTCATCTCCGATGGGCTTGGGGTAAATGAAAGATTACAGGATGAGAGACACCGGAGAGTAAATAACATTGGTCATTAGAACATCCGACTGCAGATGTAATTACATCCACACTTTCTGGAGTGGGGAAAACAAGAGGAATCAGGATCATTATTTTTTCTATACACTGTTAACACTCCGGTGCTTGTTGACTGCAGCCTGACATTAGAGCTGTGAAAATGTCAGAGAGGGTAATGCATTCTAGCTATGGTTATGCAGAAACCGTCATAGCAAGCCATTTGTATTACAGTGCATATTACAGGTCATTCAGTGACACAAAATCATATATGCTTATGTTCGGCATTATTCTCTTTTAGGCTGGGTTCACACCTCGGCATATCTTTTCAGCTCGTTTTTTTTTTGCGTTTTTTAGCACGTTTTTCCGTTCAGTGAAATGCGCATTTCACTGGCGGTATGATTTTTTTCCCTTATTTTCTCTATTTAAAAAAAAAATAAAACAAATTTCACTTTCAAACTTCCCTGCTGCTCCGCCCCCCTCCTGTGACGCGGCCCCTCGCAAGGGACGGAACACGGAAATCGTCAGCCGCCGGAGGACACAGCTGGGATCGCGGACAAGGTAAGTCCTATGCTGTATTCCCGAGTGTGGCTCGGGCTTACCGCTTTGTTAACCCCGAGCCACACTCAGGAATACCAATGGAAACACGCTGAAAAACGCCCCAAAGAAGCTCCTGTACTTGTTTGGGCATAGGGTATTTTTCAGCACGTTTCCACGGGCTGAAATACGCCCAGGTGGGAACCATGCCCATAGGGAAGTATGGGATTTCACTGTTCGAGCGTTTTACAGCGCGTCGATCAGCGCTGTAAAACGCCCAGGTGTGAACCCGGCCTTACTTGTTCCTTGTCCGGTTTTAAAGTAACGCTGAGAGGGGAATTTATCAAAACTGGAGCAGACAAAATCTGGAGCAGCTGTTCATGGTGACCAATCAGCTTCTCTCTTTCATTTTCAAATCTTAACTGAACAAACGGAAGGGAAAGGTTGATTGGGTGCTCTGGGCAACTGCTCCACATTTTGTCTGCTCCAGTTTTGATAAATTCCCCTCTTAAAGTTACAGAGTCTTTACATAACACCTTGTACAATACACACTGTTACTGAATATAAAGAACAAGACAAACAATGGGTTTGTGACTATCATTCCATGTTCAAAGCACAGATATACACTTGTATGCAATTAACTGATCATATACGAACTTTGGTTTGCTTCTTGAAACTCGATAAATCATGAGTAATAAATCATTTTTAATAATAAATAATTATGAGTTCTGTCATATGGAATTACTGTGCATGGTTTGGTCCATTTTAGAAGCAGTTTTTCAGGATATGTATGGGAGGTGGCACTGCTGACTTGTTTTTGAGGAACACAACGAGTTCCAGGTGTTAACTTTGGGCTCCAAATTCTCCAGATCCCAATCCAATCGAGCATCTGTAGGATGTGCTGGAAAAACAAGTCCACAGCATACCTTCAGAGGTCTAATAGAGTCCATACCTTGATGAGCCATGGTTGTTTTGGCGGTAAATAGGGAAACCTACTCAAGATAAGGCAGGTAGTCATAATGTTATGGCTGATCGAGTGTGTGTGTACAATGCTTCTAACAATGGAGCTCACTTCCAGGGACCTTGTGGGATCTGCAATCACCTGTGTTAGTTTTCTGATAGATCCTTGGGTCAATGTGGGGCTGTTGGATCCTAGACCCATGCTATATATTGTTGATCTCTGTCTAAGTCAAGAACAAGCCATACCCCTCATACTAACGCCTTACCCTCTGTCAATTGTGCTTTTACTGTCCATTGAAGTTCAAAATTCCAGTTGAATGAAACGGGTAGAGTACCCCTTTTGATTCCACCCTCCCCCTTGGCGGATCTGTGCATACCCAGATCCAAGGGCCTTCATTCTTCTGTTTGCTGACATCCACCATTGCAAGTCTTCCTCTCCTAGCTGTGTCCATCTCCCTGCTTGGAGACCGCCCCATAGAAGTCTATAGGTCTGTAATGTGCAGGTGCAGCCAGCAGAGGGAGCATTGCAGCTCTGGTTGTAAAAACAATAATGAAATGGTGCCTCTCAGATCTT